ATTTTCAGACAGGGTCTCTCTAAGTTGTCCTGGCTGGCCTCAAACTTATGGTCCTTCTTCCTTGCCTCCCAAGTAACTGGGATTCAGGTGTGTGCCAGTAATTCTGGCTCACAGGGTCCTTTCTTGACAGAAAAACATGCTCTAGAATCTCTCATTTTCTTTCATCTTTAGTACATGTTTACAACACATAGCGAATACATTCACTGTGGGAAGTTAGTACATATACAGTACATATTGCATCTTAATCCTTTTTACTTCTCCTTACTTCCTCCTCTCCCTCCATCTCTTGATCTCCTTCCTGTCTACAAAAGGTCTACCTCCCTGTTGACTATCATCTATCTTTTATTTTGTTCTTTAACTTATTTATACCTTGGGGCTTGGCTAAGTACAGCTAGTAGGCTAAAATCTATCTAGCCATCTGTTTTTGTAAATTATGCGTCACTGGAATCAGCCACACACTTTCATTTAAGTACTGTCTATGGCTGCTTTCATACTACAAAGTAGAAGTTGTTACAGAGATCAAAAGGCCTACAAAGCCAAAAACTTTTACCATCTGGCCTTTTAGATAAAAAGTTTATCAACTTCTGGTCCAACACACTGCCTCCATTTTCCTATTATCCATTCATCTTTTCCCCCAACTCTGGCCTAGCATCTCTTTAATCCTTCTAGTAAAGTTGCTTATCAAAATCACCATTGACATCCTGTTACCAAAACCAAAGCCCACTCTTTTGTCTCACCCACCTGACACTCTCCTGCAAACACTGACCCCTTTTGATTCCCATGACAACATTTCCTTCTGGATTTCATCCTGGGTCTTGAGCTTTCCTTCAAGTCTTCTCTGTTGGTTTTCTCTCCACTAACCAACTTCAGGGTTCTGTCCTAGGCTCCTTCTTATCTCATCATGAAGGATTTTTGATCTTCTTATGTTCTACAGATGCTTCTGGCATAGGAAAGCCTATGCTCCATTTCAGGATAATTTTAAAGATATAATACAAAATGCACAAAATAACAAAAGAAACCTATTTTACTAAAATACAGTTTTCAAAATATAAAACAATTATAATACGTGCTTTTTTTATTAATGTATTTATTAATGAATCTAGTCATGAGTCTAAAAATTCTTTACTACAGTAATGAAATGTACTGCCATAATGAAAATATAGGTGCTATTTTGGGATCCCAGCAACAACTGTAATGTGATATAAAAATATCTTGATTTCTGTGCATGACAAAATTACAAATAATATGAATATTACTTTGGTTTGAGGCCTCCATTCAAAATGGATAGAAATGATAAATCTCAGTGAGTGGTCAGTAAAAAGAAGAAATATTTTTCCCATTCAAATTCACAGACTCTTGGAATTCTACCAGTGAATTCCTGTGAGGTTCCTGGATCCCAGGTTAAGAACCTCTTCACTAGAAGGCCTCAGTCATTCCCATGGTTCAGAACCATCTGTAGGCTAAAGTCAACCTTGTTTGTATTTTCAGCCCAGATTTCTTCGAGTGCATTCAGATTGGTACACACAACCTCCTATTTGACATCTCTACTTGTATATCTCAGAGATATCTCATACTAAAGAACCCATCCCTGAATTCTTGGATCTCCCCCCTCAACCCCTTTTTGATACCACTCTCAGTAAATGGATGACCAAACTCCAAATTGCTTAAGGCAGAATCCTGAGGCCAACCTTGATACCATCTTCTTTTCCAAGCTATCAGTAAGTCCCCCTGGACTCTACCTCTATGAATCAAATCTATCTACCTCTTCCCATTCTGAACAATACTTCAGGCCCCCAGCCTTCTGACTGCTGCAAGAATTTCCTAGATGGTCTCTTGCCTTCCCTTAGCACTCCCTCCAACATTCATAACACAACAGCCAATATTCTCATTTTAAAAACAGAAATAAATTTAGGCCACAACTTCACTTAAAACTTTTTCATGGTTTCTATATACATTCCCAAGATAAAATGCAAACTCTTTACCATGGTTTAGAAAGTCTTGCAGGAACCAAACTAACTTGCCCCTCCAACCTCCTCTGGGGTTTCTTCCTCCTCACTTTCTATACTCCAAACACAATGATCATTCAATCCCCACAACATGCTAAGGTCTTTCTTACTAAGAGCTTCCAAACACACAATTACCTCTGTTTAAGTGCTCTGCCCTATGCTCCTGGAATGACTAACTCAATTGCAACCTTCAAGTCTCAGCTTAGATTTCACCTTCTCAGACAGACCTTCCCCTGACTACTTAATTAGATACCCTTGGTGATCCTTTCACAGCACTCTTTTTGCCTTCCTACCATCTTCCTTATCTTGTAACTATATTTATTTGCCTACCCGCTTGTCTTCTCCCTTATCTAGAGAAGAACACTAACAAGAACAACAGCCATTCTACTCATTACTGTGTATCTAGGACCCAGAACCAAGTAGATTGTAGATATATTCAATATGTATTTGTTAAATGAATATGGTCCTTGGATCAAAAGCATTTTCCATATAGGGCAGTAGGACACACAAGATCTTTCTGAAAATACCTGGTAGAGTAAGTAATATCATGATTCTACTGAAGTTTTTCAATTAGTAATTCTAAAGGAATTGTACCCCTGGGCTTCATTCTGAGAACAATCTAACATAACTGGAGAAAATACAAGTATATAAAGGGAATATATAAAGTGTATATATAAACATATAAAAGTATATACAGTGGTACCTTGGTTCATGAACATTATTCTTTCCATGATTCTGGTCACAAACCAAGTTGGACGAGAACTGAATCAAATTCAATGGTTATCATTCAATGGCTATCACTCTAGTCTTGTTCTTTCATAATGCTAGGACCTTTAAAAATAAATTACATGTGTTTGTATAGCTCTTAGTAATTTACTGGGTATTTCACCTAATTTCATTTGACCTTCACAGTCCTGTGTGCACTGACCAGGCCATATCATCTTCCCATTCTCTGTATGAGGAAAGAAGTTCAGAATTTAGTGGTAAATATTGTGATCTGCAGTGTGCGGTGATAAAACCAAGGTTTTGTAATTCCCAATTCAGGAATCTAGGACCTGATGGGGAAATTTTACTTGGTTCTCATTCAGTTTGGTTTGTGACCAGAATCGTGGAGAGAATTGAGTTCAGAACCAAGGTACCACTTATAAAGAGTAGCCAAAGAAACCAAGGAAATTCAGAAAATAAATTTTGTGGTTAAGAATGAAAAACTCCTATCAACAAAGGAAATGTAATAACAATTCTATTAAATATTATAACTATCAAGGCCACAGGACAATATGATGGCATTAATGACTACAAAATTCTGAGGAAATAGGTGATACTTCTAAATTAAAAAAAACAACAGGTGGGGCATGGTGGTGCACACCTGTAATCCCAGCATTTGGGAGGCTGAGGCAGGAGGATCACAGCGAGTTTGGGTCTGAGACCAGCCTGGACTACAGACTGAGACCCTGTCTCAACCCCTCTCCAAAAAAAGACAATAGCAGTCCTTTCCTCTACTCTGAAATTATAATATTAATCCCAAGCAGTTCACTCTTCCACATGCTTTTCTCTAAAGCATTAGTTCTCAGTCAGTGCAATTTTGCACCTCTGAGAGCATTAGGTAATGTCTGGAGACATTTTTGGTTGTCATACATAGGGGAGGGGTTGATATTGGCACCTAGTAGTAGAAACCAGAGATGATGCTAAACATCATACAATGCATTGGACAGCCCCAGCAAAGGCTGATTCGCTGTCAAAATTAGATTTCCTGCTCTAGAGAAGTACATGATCCCTCTAGAGGAGTAATATGATGTAATTGCTGTGTATATGGATCTCTCTGGGAGAACGTATAGAGAAATAGTAAGAGTGACTGTTTCTAAAAAGGAGAACTGAGATAGGAAGAAAAGAGTAGGTAGGGAGATTTACTTTGTAACTACATACAGACCCCCTTTATACTTTCTGAATTCTATACACAATGTATATGCCACCTATTTAAAAAAATAAAATTAACCAAAAATAGTAAGTGTGGCTTATGACTATGATTTTAGAAGAGTACAGAACACCACTAAATGGAAAAACCAAAAGAACCTAAGTTCTGGAATGAATCCTGAATTGGGAGGTACAAAAACTTGGTTTTATCACCGCACACTGCAGAGCACAATATTTACCACTAAATTCTGAACTTCTTTCCTCATACAGAGAATGGGAAGATGTGGCCTAGTTAGTGCACACAGGACTGTGAAGGTCAAATGAAATTATGTAGGTGAAATATCCAGTAAATTACTAAGAGCTATACAAACACATGTAATTTATTTTTAAAGGTCCTAGCATTATGAAAGAACAAGACTAGAAATTATATAAAGCCTTTAACATTATTCCTATCCTAAATTACATACCTTTTCTTTATTACTGGGGCTTTAAGAGCTGTTCACTGTTAATAGTACTGAAATCTTCTATTTATGCTGCCTACCCTAAGATGAGAAATAACTCAAGGTAAAGGTCTTATTATGATGAAGCCCACTAACTATAAGTGGTCAATAATTATTTGATAACTTACACAATTATACCAAAGGTTAAGAAGAGGAAAACCTTTTCTTATATCATTTGATTTGCTACAAAGTAAGTAGAAGAGAGGAATTTGGCTTGGCTAGGCCTTAACAATAATCCTATGACTTGTAGCCTTAACAGAGAAAGGATGGTAAAAGCATTCATCAATACATAACATGTCTAATTGAATTACCAACTTTCCTCTAACAGCTGGGCCACGTGGGCATAACCCAAAAAGCTGTCTCTTACTCATTAAATCACTGAGTCATGAAAACATCACCATCAGTACTCATGTCTTTGAATGGCAAGGACAGTCAATACGTAGGAGCTGCCAGCAAAAATGATTAATACTGAGGATGCTGCAAAGTTCTCTAGTTTTAGCAATTATGAGCACAAGTGATGCAAAAGTAGAGTGAGAGAGGCATCAGTCATTGGAAAAGAAAAAGGAAACCGTAGGTGTCTTACGTGATATACTTGTTATAGAGGATGAAGGCATGTTCAATGTTGCCTTCTTCAGAATAAATGGATGCCATTCGAATAATCTCAACTCCAGAGCGGAAGTACCGACGGGGTGGAATGTCTTCACTCACTTCCACTGCACTCCCCACCTGAGAGAGAGCCCTCACCCGATCTTCGGGTGGGAGGCTCACATCTCCATGGTCAGACATCAGGACCAAGAAGCTCTGAGACAGAAAAGAGAAAACAGATGGTATAAAACCATGGCCCACATCATCCTAGCACAGTTTAGCACAGAGCATTTTATGTCACCAACCTTCACCTTAAAGAAGATATTAGAGAAAAAAATACCATATGCTGTGGCTTAGATCAAATAAGGTGTTTCTCTAACAAGATGGCTGAGACTCTCAAGGAAGCCTAAATTACACAATTGAGAGGGTTAGGAGACTCAAACCCACAATTCTAGCGCCATAATTAAGAAGTACAAGGAATACAATTCGGTCATGGGGGATTCCATTCTACCCAAGTGAGATATTCCCTGTCATCAAGTGGCCCTGCCTAGAGCACCACAAGAGTGGACAGTACCTTATATTTTTTCCATTATTTCTACCTTCAGCTACCTATTTCCATTTATCCCAGTACCTGGCAGAGTGCAGTGAAATTTCATGATTGTTAAGTGACTTCAATTTACTAATTCTGATTTAACCTAAGAGTAACCAACATTTTCTGTGGTATACCTTTTCATATTTGAGTGCCCTGTTCACAATGCTAACTCTGTTCACTAAGCCACTATACCAGTCAGTCTGTAACATCATTGATTATTATTTTGGCAAGCTATTTAGATCTTGAAAAGGATAATTTACTCATCTTCAAAAACTAAGCACTCTTTGAAAAACAAAAAGCACAAAGTCATCTTGCAATGAGAAGGGCACAGGGACAGTACTCTAATCTGGGAGTTTTCCCTCCCTGGGGGTAATTCCACAATCTTTCTAGATATTTTTTCCTGTTCCAAACAGTTTCCAAGTTCTAATCAGATACCATCATTTTCCATCATCTCCAAAAAGTGTCAGGGAATTTGATATGCACTGAATTACAGTACACCCTAACCAGCACAGCCTTGAATAGAATTTAGTAGAAATCATCTCAGAATTCATGGCCTTGATTCAACTGGCCCTATTTTGTCTTTTCCATCCATATACCTTATTCCTCCCCAACAGAGATCTTTTGCTTTAATCAGGATTCCAATCTGTCCAGGAGTCCTCACATTTCAGTTTCATTTGTTTGCCACTGTTTTCCTATCCAAACCTTTCCTCAGAGATAGTCATCTCCAGGCCAATTCTATCTTGGGTTTCTTCAATATTCGGGTCACATTTCCTCTGTAAAACTTCCCCTCCAAAACCTCATCAATAACACAAAAACCGTGGGGACTCTTGGGATGCAGAGGCATTCTATCTCCCACGAAGCCTCTTTCAGATCTAAAACCTCCCCACGTTGCTTAATTGGTAAACCCAGGGCAGTCCATCAGAGTTAACTGAAAATGGGTGCTCATGGCATCCCAGTACCTCTAGGGAGAAGTACAAGTGGATTGAGAAAGAAACCCTTTCCCAGGGCCAGCAACCGGCACTGGGCAGGCAGCACGGAGTTGAGCAGAACTCCACAGAGGAAATGCTGCATTCACAAATAAGGGAGGGTGGGTGATCTGAAGGATTTGGGAGTGGGAGTTCGCGGAGGCGGTGAAAGAAAGTAGCAAAAACGCGCCAAGAGGGCATTACAGTATACAGGCATCTGACAGCTGCTTGAGGCGCCCTTTTTGATGGCCCTCAAACCCAAATTGCCAATCCGGAGCAAAACCATCTAAAGTTTTCCGGTCGTTCAAACGCAGTAGGCGAGGAAGCACTGGGCCTGGCTGGGTAAGCGCCAGCCCGCGGGAACCGGAGCCGTCTGGGGCCTGGGTGCAGCAGGCCAGGCAGGGGACGCGGGGGAGGACAAGGCTGCAGGCTCCACACTCAGTGGCGGATCCCCTCAGAGCGCGGCCAGGCTCATAGTCCCTGCCCCACCGCATTCCCGGGACCCCTTCCCCACCTTTCCTCGAGGATGACACTCCGAGCTTCCGGAAACGTCACGTCCGAGCCACGCCCACTCCGCCAGCTTGTCAATTATTCTCCTAAGCGTTTAGAGGTGGGAGCTGGTGGGTGGGACTAGAAGCCATAACTAAGGAACATCCGGCCAATGCAGAGTGAGTTCTTCAGTGGCCATCTTGGTAAAGGAAAATGAACCCGGAAGAAAGCGGAGCCCAGCGGTTAAGGGAACCAAACACCAACCTCGTATTTGTTTTTAAAATTATTTTGATTTTAGGTAGAAGTTTTCTGCCAGATAGCCCCTTCATCACCCTCATATAAATCTCACGTAGAGATTATTGATCCAAGTAAAACTGCAGACTTGGCAAAACTAACCAGGATTTGAACATTGGGGGACAAAACAAAATTGAATTTATTTTTCAGGTTGTTTGTGTTATTTTCTACTCAAAACTTGGTAATCGGAAATATTAGGGAATAGTTTTATTGCTTAGAAAAGAACATAAGACTATTGACAACACCTAAAATGCACTCAGTGATTAATATTTAAGGGTCACTGCAAAACCACCCGGGACAGGAAGACCTATATGATACAGTTCCTGTATGTAAGACCAACACAAGGTGATTATAAACCCCAGTTACAAAGTGACACATTCTACATGTGTATTGTGTATGTATGTTTGAATCTATCTATCTATCTATCTATCTATCTATCTATCTATCTATCTCTTTCCAGTAGGGTTCTACAAGCCTGCTATTCATTCTGTCTTAGAAGACTTTGTATGTCACCACTCTGAAACCTTATGCTTGGCTTTGAAAGTTTGGCTCTGGGGATACTTTTTCAAAATGTATTTGGGAACCTGCCTGTGAGTTTGTCAGTATGATGTTACATCCTGGCCTTCAAGATCTGGTTTAAAACCTCAGCTTTGGTGTTACCTCCTCCACCAAGCCAGCCTTCAGAGCTCGCAAACCCTGTTATGTATGTCTCTCTTGGAATTCCCTGAGATGATGTTGTGTGGTCATTGACTTTTCATACTTACTGTTCAAAGCACTTTTTTGATCATTCTTCTACCCGCCCCCCCCATAAGCATTAATGTGTATGTCAATGCTATGGTCCCCTATTAACTCATGGATTCTCTGCAGGTAAATCTGGGAAGACAGTTGTGCATAGTGCTGTACTGTGTGCCCTATAAAAAATGCCCCAAACTCTATTTCTCTGTTGACTCTTTCCACTCAGGATGTAAACATGGTTAGTTGGGCCTAATGAAATTGATGCATTGGAGATGCTGGTCATAGCGCATCGGGGTGGGGTTCTGTTGATACAGGAGAAATCCAACTCCCAACCCACTAGATGTTAGTTGTGCTGAGTTCATGCCCAGTGAAATCGAAGAATGAATTCCACGGGACAAAAGGAGGTTAAGAGTAGGAAAGCTTTACTGGAGAATAGAAATAGCTTCTGAAAAATCTGGGTGTGGTGGTGCACACTTGTCATCCCAGCACTTGGGAGGCTGAGGCAGGAGGATCACCTCAAGTTTGAGGCCAACCTGGCCTTAAACTGAGGCCCTGCCTAAAAAAAAAAAAAAGGAATAGTTCCTGAAAGACAGCCGGGGTCCCAAGTGGTTTGCAGTCGAGGTCATTTCTCCTAGAATGTTTTATAGGGCAAAATCATGAGGTAAGTACAACATGGATCAAACTATAATCAACCAATAAGATTACAAATATAGGGCCGGGGATTTAGCTCAGTGGTTTCGCCACCTGCTGCACAAGCACAAGGACCCGAGTTCAATCCCTGGTACCAAATAAAATAAAATAAATAAAGATTAGAAGTATAGGGGGCGGGGATTTAGCTCAGTGGTTCCGCTGCCTGCCTTGCAAGTGCAAAGACTTGAGTTTGATCCCAGTACCAAAAAAAATTTACAAGTATAGTCACTTAGCTAATCCAATAGGGAAATGTAACACATAGCAAGGGCATATGGCTGATATCATTAACCTTGGCTTATCTATGACTTCTAAAAGAAGAACATTTGAGAGAAGGGATGGGCCTGAGTGTTCTGGTCACCCACCCAGGTGTTTGATGTATATCTGGACTTAATGGACTGGGTGATACCAATTACAATATGAATTCAAATTTCCATTCATCCCTTAGGAAAGTGTGTAAGTCTGTCCATCATGATTTTTAGTCTTGAAGCCTTGCCTTCTTCAGATACGCCACCAGGTACAATGCTGATGACTCTACCTACTATCACTGACTTCCTTGAGAGCCCAGTCCCTCTCTGACGGTATATTAAATTTTACCAAACTTAGCTGACTATAATACTGGCAGAAGCCAATACAAGATAAAACCTAGGCCATTCTGCCTCTCAAGTATTTACTAAACATTTGCTATATATCAGTCTGTTCTAGTGTTGGGAATACAACAGTGAACAAATCCAGTAGGTGGATCCTGTTATTGTAGAAGTACTGTTACTGTGGAAGCCGAGCAGGTAGGGTAGGGAGCAGGTACATCTACTTCCATTGAGCAGTCTTCAAAGTATCTCTTTTCTTTATTGTTTAACTTAACACAGCAACAGAATTTATAAACATCCTAGATGTTATGATGATGATGAATAGACTTTAAGAAGCTATAACTGTGTGAGGACTCACATATAAGAGGGATGTGCACAATCATAAACACAACAATCACCACACATATACCGTTGCTGATATAAGTAAATTAAAAACTATTAGAATTTCTTAAAGTAATGGTTAAGAGGCTATAGGAAGCAGGATCTAGTCCTTTTATGGTGGGAATTTGTAAGTTAATCATAATTTGGGATCTGGGGACCAGAAAAAACAAGCAAGAAAAACTTGACCAAGGAGAACATTTGACATTCTTCATTTCTAGCTTAACTGGAAAAGTGGAAAACAGAACCATTTTGTACATGGAACCAGAAATTAAGGTTACAAAAATCCTGGTAGGTTCTTGGCATAACTGAGGAAAACATCTTATCTATCCCTGCCCCACAGGTTGGAGGCCAAGAATTGAAGGTATCCTATCAGCAAAATAGGTTTCAGCTGTTCATCTGGTAGACCATGGCCAGGATAGAAATTGAGGTGATCTTTCTAATTTGCACCCCTACATTGCTGTGAACAACTTCCCCAAATATAGCAGCCTCCATCTGATTTCTTGCAAACTTCAATATCATAGTCTCCTGCACTCCTGCGTGCTCATTCCTGGGCAGCATCAAGAAATTAGAAGGTGAAATTCTTACATTGATATGTAGTATCAGGGTCTAAAAATTTTATTTTAGATGCACGCTTAGAGAAGCCTTCTGGAGGAACTAAAAACAAGGAAGACTTTAGACAGATGTCATTTACCTACTTTGTACTCCTGTGGTAAATGCCATATCCAGAAGGTCAATTTCATTAGTATAGGAAGGGCATCCAGTCTTACCTAGTACAATGCATTCTTACAGCAGCATCTTCTGATCTTTTTAAAACAAAAATCTGATTCCATCTTACCTGAATTTAAAATCCTCCAATGACCTCCCATGGCACTTGGAATAAAAATGCAAACTCCTTACTCTGTATTGCAGTGAATCAGCCCCTGCCACCCCTCTGATCTTGTCTCCCACTTTCTTTGTCACTTACTCTCCAGCCGCACCATCTGCATATCAGCTGTTCTGCTCAAGACCTTTGCACAGCTGTTTCCTCTTCCTGGGGTGTCTTCACCAGGTGGTTCCATCTGAGCATTCATGTCTCAGTTTACATCACTTCCTTGAAAAGAACTATGACTACTACTCCATTAACCTTTATCAGTTGGTCCTGTTTTCCCTTCATACTCCTTATCACTGTCTGATATGATTTGGGTTGTTTATTGTCATTCATTTCTCACTGGAAATACAATTTGCAGTAAGACAGGAGGGATTTTCTTTTGTTTTGTTTTGTTTTTACTTACTTACAGCTATATTTCCAGGGCCTAGAATGGCTTTTGATCCCAGTTGATATAGTCTTTAGTGTTCAAGTATTTTTGACACAAATTGTTGTCTCACTGTCCCCAAAATGAATTATAGGGATGGACTAGTCTATTATGATGCTGGCTGAGATTAACAGTGAAAAACTGACCATTATATTCTTGTGACAAAGTCTTCCCTATAAGGCAAGCTAGAGCAAGAAGCAGAAAGCCTCAAGGACAAACATCTTTAAACAGTTATTGAGATCCTCAACAGGATTCTAGATGAGCTCCATGCACTGTGCCACGACCCCAGCCTTTCTTGAACATTGCTAGGGTGTTCAGAAAGCAGAAAAGGATTTGTACTGAAGATAAATGGTTCACATTGTTAACATTTCTACTTGTGAACCTACTGGGAATGTAAAATTTGAAAAGTAAAAACTTGGGAAGAAAAAGATGTGGGATGAAATGTTTCCAATATAGGGAAATGTAAATACACAGGAGTATTTTAAGTCTGTTCATTATTACTGGACGCAAATTATGCTCCTTTTCAGTAGGAGTTGAGATAGGCTACCATAAAACCAGTAACATTGAGATGAACTTCTGGTTTGGAGCTCCACCTACAGTTTGTTTGAAGACTGTTATCTTCTGTCACCAAGAATGACTAGCTTGGAAAAAAGTTCTTATGTATGCTTGGAAAGATCTTTCATGTGTGTGTGTTGTTAAAATTAATGGTAAAATGTGAGCATGAGGAATCAGTTTTATTTTAGACACATTTCTTCCTTTGTTACCTGTGAGTTAGCTATGAGTTACATAATTTATTTCCTAATGTGTAATTCAAAGCCTTTCTTTTAGGTAAGACTACCATTCTCAAGGATGCAGATTTCAAATAGAGTTAAATAACAGAAGAAACTTTAGGATTATTTGTGAGGCACACTTTGGGTGAGGGATTTTACCATTTTATATTTGGTTTACATTTTTCTTTTTAAAAATATTGGCCAGACACTGTAACTTTTAATGAGG